ATGGATTTTCTTCCTGATGTTGTTCCCATATCTTCAAAAGAGATGCACACTGACTTGGGTTTATCATACATTCAGAAGATTTTGCGGTGTTAAGTGGAGTAGGCGGACCCTTTAATGAACACAGAGTGGGCCCCATAGAGCAAGCGTTCTAAAGGTAAAGTACTTTTGAGTCGGTGGTAGATTGTATCAGTCTTCATGGCACAGGGGGAAAGCCATTTAAAAATTGATATCAAGATTAAAAGTTCATAGGTTACCATAAGAAGTAATGTCTAATTCAGTTATCAGGTATTTGGACCACTTTAATAACCATTTTAACCACCAAGTTTAACTGTTGCTGGCATGATGCATGGTGATAATGAGAGGAAATATATGGATAGGAGAAAGGAACACTTAAGTGTGGCAACAGAAGCCAGTTTTCATTTTTCTTTTTTTTTATGTTTTAAGAAAAGTTCATCTTTTTTATTTATTTATCACTGACTAACATTACTGTCTCAAAATCAAAAGTTAAACATTTTTATTCATAAATTCTATAATTGCCTTAATTTTATCTTTTTTTTCCTTTGGTATAACTCAAGTACAGGTTCACACTGCGAAAGAATAAAGTAAGACAAAAAATAATGTGGGTTTGATAAAGAACATTTCTTAATTAGAACTTTACTACATGGTGAAATTTTATACCATCAATTAGTTTTTCTACCCTTAGTTGAGTAAATAGTCTTCCCAAATAGAATATATGAAGACAGATCAGTGGTGACATGGTAATTCATCCAGCTATGCAGGTTGAGAAAAAATATAAGAATCATATTCAAACAAACAGCTAAAAGCTCAAGGGACTATTTAACCAGTACTTAACTATATGTGGTAGAAGTGAAGCATATATAGCTTTTTATCATGGGCATTATGATGCAGAAAATCAATAGGCCCTAGCTGATAATAATTTGACTGATGTCTATATACCTATAACTTATTGGGGCAAATTCTACATAGCAGGATGGAGCAGACTGAACCTTCTGGATGTAAGCCAGTGTATTTTGTTTATCTCCTTCTCATGTCATTTTTTGGTCATTCAACTCTTCCAAAGTATATACAATTTTAGTTGCTGAATTTTTCAAGTATTATTTTGCATTAGTTTTATGTAGGCAAGGAAAAATAATGGAGCATGCATATAAAGATAGATTCCACATTAACCTCTAAAAGTACAGTTAGATAGGTAGCACGGTGACTTTGTTTACCAAGGTTTGGAACAGAAAATGTTACTCACTAAGGATACAGCAGGATATCTTAGGAAAATACTCCCGTATCTACTACACAGCATGGAGTTTACATTTTCTCTCAAATGCCAAACAAGAGTTGCAACGGTATTTCTAGACATTCCTGCTTTTGTTGTGGATTTAGAGATGTTGTATCATTCTTTCTTTTTTCTTTCTTTCTCCCCCCCCCTTTTTTTTTTTTTTTTGAGTTGATCTCTTCACTTTCTTATCCATACAGAATAGCATGTGTAGTTTTATAATATTTCTCTCTCTCTCTCCTCCCCTCTCTCTCTCTCTCTCTCTCTCTCTCTCTCTCTCTCTCTCTCTCCTCCCACACAACACCACCACATATTTTGTCCATTGTGCTTTACAAGACCAACATGTCACAGCCATGGGATGTATTTCAACCTACCGCTTGGCTGTTTTTGCAATATTACCTCATGTTGTGTTAAAATTTGCAGCAATAATGGTATCAGGTTTATCAACCACATGCCATATTGTTGGAAGAACCCAAAACTGAAAGCCTTTAGATCCGGTGATTAAGAAAAAATAAAAAACTCAAGACATACTTAAGTTGCCCAGTTAAAGTAGTAACATGAAGGTCTATTTAAAGACCTGTCACACACATTAGTACTCCCAGCCAACATTGGACTTTCATAAAATAATTAAGACATCATTTCTATCAGCCACTGAATGAGGATAACCTATACACTGTATTGATTGTGTTAGAGGAGATATGAATGTGTTGGATGAGACCAGTTATTCTTATAACTGGCATAGTGCTGTTTTAATGAGATTGGGAACATGTATAACTAATTGGTTAATGTTCTTCAGGGGTGGTATGACGAGTGTCCATCATGATGTGTCAAAATCTAATATGAACCTCCTTGGGGGCCACAATGTGTTTTGGAATGAAAATGTTTATCTAAAATGTGTAAACCAATCAATCGAACATTTATTTACTTTTTCTTGCACAAACAAAATATTTAAATAAAAAACAAATAATATTACACTTAACTTCAAAATGACGTAAAGGGGGAAAAAAAAGCAAGTCACCTGCCATTATTAAGAGCCAAAGGCACAACCAAACAAGCAAACAAAAACTGTATTCAAAGTGCACTTGTACTGGCATCAGCCACCGTGAGGAAAATTTCATTTTGACAATCATATTAAGCACATCAAACTATTTTACCTTTTTTTTTCTTTGAAGGGCATCTAGCCACCCTCGTAGTGGCATGACCACCCAGCCAGTGACAAAAAAAAGCCACCATTAATTTGCCCAAGTCAAATATGTGATCCACGCCACTGATAACTTGTCAGTTGGCGAGTCAAGGGTCTATAAAAACAACAACTACCTTTAATGAAACCAAAACATCTTAAGATAAAAAAGAGACGTCATTACAATCCCACTATGGCTGAAATTATACTTTTCATGGTAATCATAGATAAGACACATGGCACTTATGCTTTTAAAAGTTGAGATTTCCTACTGAAAGATTTTTCATGTTTCCTCTTGAGTTCAAGTGGACAGTAAGGGTTTGGTCTATAGACAAGTAATAGTCATATCTACCTCAAAGGAATGCAGCACTTAGCCTGGTTATATTGGCATGCTTTAATAAGAGGTTATGGTATATTTAGGGATCGATTAAACAGAGCGTTTTACCTAAATAAAAGACTTTTTATAAGTAGTAGGGAATAATGAGTATGGTAGGATTTAAGTAATGCAGTGGATAAAAACTAGAGAATTAGGGATTGTATCGCTCATTCAATGGAGATAATGACTATTGTGGGAAGTTTACGGAATGGAGAGATGTGGACTAAAAACCTACATCAGCCATTTGCAAAATTCATGTCATTTTATCTTTTCTTTAATGTACCACCACAGAATACCGAAAAACAGCGTGAAAAGGCTACCTGGGTCAAATCAGGCAGGTAACTAAAACTAAGTGACTTCCAAACAAAGATATAAACCCAAAACACAATAGCTTTACATGGCCCTGTTGTCCCAGACTAATACAGACATTTTCATTAAAAGACCTTGTAAAAATACCCCCTCCTTAACCCCCAAGAATACAACCAACATAAAAGACTTCCCAAAACAAATTCCCCCAGTTTTATACAAGCTCTTGCACAAGAGCATTAAGAGGTACCAAAATATTTTCTTTAGCAAGACTTGTCCTATTCTGAAGGTGGAGGGTCTTGATCAAACTAATTTGGAGAAGTCAACAAGCCTTCTGGGGGATAAGTGCACTTCTAACAGAGGTGATGCACCATGTTGTAGTACTTCAGGGCAGTGGGCTCGTATCACTTATCATGGGTAGAACAGGAACACAATGAAACTGGTCAAAGGCCCAGAGCAACACCATTTTTCGTAAGCATTTTTGGGACGTCCATGATTTACTTTCGTGACTCATTTATAAGGAGAACATTTTTATATAACAATTTTTCTGCTCAAATGCTAGAACAATAAAATGCTAAAAGATTGTCTTGATTTTCGCTAAAAATACCAGAAATACCTAGTCGTATTTACTTTTCAGCATGTCAATCATAACTGTTGTTTTTTCTCACAGGGGTTCGTTTTATCTTCAAATCTTAAAGAGTGAACAGTTTAAACTAAATTATTTGAACTTTACAACAACAGATCTGATATTGAACTGACACTAACATTAACGTCAACTCTTTCTACCTCTCTCTCTTTATTTCACTCTCCATAAAAAACTAAAAAACAAACCTCTTCATATTTTTCCTGTCATGATAAAATGGTACTGTACCCTGTCTCTCAAGTTAAGAGGAGGGCCCACCACTGAGTCTCTGTCGAGGTCTTTAATGAACAGACTGATTTATACCCATGATGGAGCCTTGACTTTGATGCTACGCACTTACGCATCTCGATTCCCCAGGCCCTGACTGCGTTAATATTCTGGTAATACAAAAAAGTCACATTTCAGACACATTAATAGTTCCAAGCTTTTAAAATCTACCATACTAAATCACCTTTTTTTTCTTAACGAATGTTTTCTCTCAAATTGAGCATTGTTGGGTACCACTTTAATGATAATTCCTCGTGTCTTTTCTGGGGACATAAGCGATGTAGGTCGCAATAAATGGAATCCAAATGTACCTTTGAAAATTTTTTTTTTTTTCCTTTTAAGTACCTTCAATACTTCACAGCACATACATAAAACTATCAAAGCCTAATGAATCACAATTCCCTTTTATAATAGTCTAAAATATACATTTTCACTGTTCATACTGTTATCAACCATCAGCTGATTTCACAGTCTTACAGCAGGGAGTTCAAGCACCAAGACAGCACCAATGATTCCATCGGGTCCAAAAGCAATGGGCACCTGCAGTTGACTAATATTTTGATTTCAGCAGCTCCATCAATTACCATCCACAGCCACAAGGTTATAAATTGGAAAGCTGAGAGGTTTTATTGCCAAAATAACACGATGATAGCCATTAAATTGGATAGGAGTTTTTTATTTATTACAGCTTACTACCATGTTAGACACCAAGTGTAAAGCCAAAATCAATAAGCTGGATATAGGAACTTAAAGCGAACCACTGCTGAGGCCTTCTCATTACTGTTAATGATTTCTACTAGTACCAAATGACGTTCAACCTATAGTAAATGATTTACAAGTTCCGTTTCATTGGGGAAAAATGCTTTTCCTCCTCTTTTTAAGTAGGCCATTAGGTTGTGCTTCATGGCTATTCTCACCATTTCTTTTTGTCTACTTTTAGATGATGTGACAGTCCTGTACTCCATTCATCTTGGAATCTTTACGGTGGGTGAACTGAAAACTGAAAGCCATCTAGTCAATCAATGAATCCCAAGATGGTAAGACTCCCAAAGAAGGACCAGCCATAAAAACCACCCAGAGGAAAGATATACACAAGTCCATCTGTCAAAATTGTGTCTCATCATGTTGAAGATGGCATCATCACAAATTACGATATTGATGCCCTTACTGACCCTGGCTTGTGTTGCTACAGGATTTAGTTTACCAACCAATTCTGAGCAGGGTTGCCCATCCCTGTGCACTTGCTACAAACAGAGCACTGTTATAAGATGTGAGGGCATGCAGATGAAGAAGGTTCCTCTGCTTCCCTCATCTGCAAGATGGGTTTACTTGAACAACAATCGGCTGAATATATTAGGAAACTTTTCATTCGAGGGGCTGCCAAATTTGGAATACATCAACTTGGAAAATAACGGGCTATATCAACTGGATCCCAATGCTTTTGGAAGCGGTTTGAATAAACTCAAAGTACTGAAACTTGGACACAATCTGCTTAAGGAGATACCAGAGGGCTTTTTCCGAAGGTCAACCCAAGTTACCGAACTGGATCTCAGTTATAACACCTTCACAACTGTGCCACATACTTGTATGCAGTATCTCACCCAATTGAAAATCCTCAATGTAAGTTACAATGACATCTACGATCCAGTTCTAAGCTCATCCTTTCAGCACACAACGAAGCTTCAGTATTTGGATTATTCTGGCAATGATATTGTTCGCCTGGCCGGGAATGCATTTCAGGCCATGCTGTGGTGGGACGCCATTCCCAAGTATTTAAATCTGTCCAACTGCAACATTAAATACATAGATTCTGAGGCTTTTGAGAAACTTTACCACCTATCCCAAGTTACACTGTCTGGGAATCCAGGAATTCCCATAGGAACACTCAAAGATGCCATGAAACGGCTAGAAGTTGCTAGTCTCAGAAGACTAGAAATGGCCAATATGAATATAACAGAAACAGCACATATATTCAGTAATCTTGAATTATCCAGCCTGGAGTCATTAGATTTGTCCCATAATCAAATCACTACTATAGGTCAGAGGACATTCTACTTCCTTTCCCGACTCACTGACCTTGACCTTTCACACAATATGATTGGAGCCATAGGTGATATGTCTGGTCTCACTTTGATACAGAGACTGCACCTTTCTCATAACCAGATCAGCTTCTTGGATGAATCAGAAATTGAAACGATCAATACACTGAAGGAGCTTCACCTTTCCCACAATAAATTCACCGATATCAGCAATGCCCCACTACAAGAACTATGGGATCTGATCCTGCTAGATCTCAGTAACAATTTCCTACAGGAGTTTGAAGTCAGTGCATCTCTGGAACATTTAGAACATTTGAATGTGGCTCAAAATGGTCTCACAACACTAGGTACCATTCCTCGGCTGCTGCAGCTAAAATACTTAGATGTAAGTGGCAACAGGTTGTCATTTTTAAGCAGTGAACTCTTCTCCCGAAGCAACCAAATAGAAAGTGTCAACTTCAGCCATAATGCCATTACTGAAATCAATCAAAACGCATTTCTATCTCATGCCCCAAGTGTTATTGACCTATCCCATAATTCCCTGACACGCTTAGAAGATTTTGGTTGGAAGGATCAACAGGTTAAAGTCATTCTTTTGAATAATAACCGTATCATGAGTATGTCTACAACGGCATTACATGGCCTACGCTGGCTCTCAATATTAGACCTAAGCAATAACTCCCTCAGAGACATCTGGTGGGAGAATTTCAAGGATCTTCAGAATCTAAAGACATTGATTTTGAGTGGAAATGATCTGGGCAGTATGCTCAAAACCCAAAATGGAGTAGCACTTCTAAACAGTTTAAGAGGGCTTGAAACCCTCTACCTGGACAAAAACAGTATTGACGAGCCACACGAGGACCTTTTTTATAACCTGACTTCCTTGACGAGACTGGATCTCAGTCAAAACATGATGGAGAACACTTCTTGGAAATTACTGAGCCGTTTACAATCAATAACCCACCTGAACCTTTCATCCAATAATTTCAAACAGTTTGACCCAGAAAGCTTTGAGGGCTTTGGCTCGTTGCAGTCTCTTGACCTCTCACTTAATCCATTTGAGTGCAACTGTGACCTTTTAGAATTCCGTAACTGGCTGGACAGGACTAGTGTCTCTATTGAAGATTTTGATAAAATAGACAGGTATGTCTGCCAGAGCCCTGATAAATGGAAAGGACGCCCTTTGATGTACTTCTACCCTGCTGTAGACTCATGTGGTGAGCTCTTCGACAAGAGGATTATATTTTTAGCAATAGGAGCCATTGGCCTTGTCATAGTCCTTATTGGGGGATTGGTATTTTACAGGCACAGATGGAGAATCAAGAGGCGACTTGCCCGTCACCAATATGGTGTCATACGCGAGCGTGATAACAATGCTTTACAATTGACGCTTCATCAACCTAATGGAAACACTCAAAATGGCGGCAACGTATGGTTGTGATATAGTACTTCTAATATGTATTCAAAGTTCCCATAACTACCCAATTCATATGTGTACAAACTGAACATATCCAAGAGCAACAGACCTGTTTCTCGGTTCTTGTCATGTTCTGTTCCTCTTTTTCAGTGGATCACAGCTCCTGTGTTCATTGTAAGAACAAGGATATACTCTGTACATTTTTAGCATGGATTTTTTTTTGTTAAAACCATAAAGTAATACATGTTAAAGGGTCAATCCATTCTTCTGTAATTTGAAAGTGTGGTTATGCCAACTTTACTAGACTTTATAAATTGTTCATGATGCATGGACAGCACATTAAAAAACCTGTCAGAATTCAACATGTGGATATTGCACTATGAATATTTTAAGAAAAAAGAGCAAAACAATGACAAGACCCAGAAAAAAATAACACCCCTGGTACTGTCACATTCAAGTTCCCTAACTGTATAAGAAAGATTTTTTGTAAAATACAAGTTATTATTCAAAGATCTAAGTGGATCAAAGAGTTGCATGTAGTTTTGTATATTTCTACTATTAATGTAAATAGCAATAAGTGCAGGTTGGCTAATCTGCATATTTTGTAAAATGTATATAGATCGTCATATCAAAAACCTTGTCAATACTATATATATACCTATTTATTGAGCAAATATCAGCATGTAATTTTCAAAAATAATTCTAGGTATGTTTTCCTCTGTGTTTATTTTTTCCTATGGTCAATACTTCAATTCAAAAGGCATGAAGTTCATGTCACATTATGAGTTTGAATATGCTACCCTCTTCAACAGACCTCTTTACAGCATATCATCTGAGGTCATAACAGTTTTAAACCGCTTTGAGTAATGCATTTAAATGAGTAATAATGGCATATATTAAAAAACTTGCAATGTTATCACTCACTGCCTTTAACATGGAGATAACAGAGATAGTTAAGGTAAATGCACCCATAGCTGTGGGTTTCTGCCTTCTGGCCATACTAGTGTTTTTTTTTTTCTTTGAAGGTGCAGTTTTCTTTTCTTTCTTATCTTTTCAATGTGATTTTGTATCCTGTATATAAAATATGTGATAAGTGGTTTCAATTCAAAATAATAATAGTAATAATAACAATATCTGTCATATCAAATACAAGTTAATTCTATCATCATTATTAGCTTCAACTCAAACATTTGCTCAAAATCTGAAAATATTCTTCTTTGCCTAGAGAGAAGATTTCATCAAACATAATGCCTTATTGTAAATACATTGCTTTCTGCTATCAATATTTAATTATTTTGAACAAAAATATGTTGACATTTGCCCATGCTATGAGCTAATTGCTAGGACTTTATATATAAGTCTGACCACCAGATTCCACAGCCTAGCCAGAAGTTGCTTCAGAATTGTGCACCAACTGGGACTGTGGCCAGTTTTGAGTTTAAAAGTCAACGTGATTAAAAGAAATATGGATTTGTCACCATAATTCAGAGACAATTGCCATACTTAAGCAGCTTTGTCTGGAGAATATTTAATTTGTATCCACAAATGGCTACATTAGGAGACCCAAAACTTACACAGAAACCACCCATTGCTGTTGTTTATTATTTACTGTTTTTGAATAAACAGGCTGTGCCTAAAAATGACCTTGCAATGCATTTCCTTAATTAAAATAATTTTAAATGAATATTTGGACAAAGAGTATAATGCATTTACTGTCTGGCAGATGCAGGGCTTTGCTAAGGGGTGGTGGTAGATTTAAAAAAATATATATTAAAAAAGGTAGACATGGACAATATTAACAATGTATATGTTGGGGACTGAGGTGGAAATTTTGCTTGATGTTTCACTTGTTATACAATTAATTGGGGGGGGGGGGAGAGAGAGGAGGAGAGAGAATGGGGAGATGAGAAAACGGCATAGAGAATATGGGATGTCCCACAGTGCACTTTGCCCTCTGCTGGACCTGCCATCTGAATGTAATTTCTATCACAATTCTATCCATATGAGCAGTATTACTGTTATTCAATATAGAAGTTACTATGATGAAGCTTTAATGTATCGGAGAGATTGCTTTTTTAAGTGCTCTGTAACTTACAGCATGTGTCACAAACTGATAAAACCTCTCCAGTGTTATACGTACCATTTGCTTTACATGTTTAATGGGGTACAATCCCTAAAGTTGACACATTTCATTTTGTTAATGGAAGTCACTACTAAGAGTGATGTTGAAATTTCTGTAAAGTGCACTACAGGAGATGCATTTTTGTTAACATTCAAGAATTTAAACTAAGACTGGGTTCCCACATTTAGATCGATCCATCTGGATCGACCTAACTCCCTGGGGGTTCACGCTAAATTGCTGTCAGCTTCTGGGAGCCGGGCACGTACAAAAGTTAATTACCCCCTTACAGCTTTTAGTAGGCGGGACAGACATTTAACCCGGTTAAGCTGACAGCAATCTAGTGAGACTCCCCAGAGGGATAGATCGATCTACATATCTGTGGGAATGGTCTCTTATACTTTCTCTATTCATGACAACGGAAATGAGAAAAAAATTGAAAAAAATAATAATTGAGAGTCATTACAAATGACATCTGCCTTCCTGACATTCAAAATATACTTGCCAAGCATGGCTTTATTTAAAATTTCTGTGAAATTGTGAGATGTCATAGCTACCAAATTGCATGCCAAAAAGGCTCAGAAGATAATGACATTAAGTATGCTTCGGAATCAGCTAAACTTTCATGTAAAGATGTTTATCAGCATGAAGGTCTGAATTGGCACATATAAGATGTTTCGGAGAATGGAAATATCATGGTGAGGTTCTTTCACATGCATTTTTTATTACCTTTAAAGAATAATCTTTTTGGAACAGAAGTTAATTTTCATTCTTGAAAATATTACATTATCATATCCCAAGATGTTATATTTGTCAACAAGGATTTAGTGAAGCTGAAGATTTTCAGTACTTGTTTGCCATATTGGTGGTAAATATGGTCTTCTGCTGCTGCAGTGACATCTATCCAAAATTTTTCTTGTTTCAAACATTTCAACATCTAGTAGAAATGCCTATGGTAAATTGGTTTTGTTTTATTGTAACCCATGAATATTCATCTTCAAAGGGATGTTTAATGTTTGCTGTTCATGTATAAGTACAGTTTTGTAAAAAAAAGCCATAAACTAAGTATGTATCACTGCATTTTTCATGCTTACTTCTCTATAAAAAGTTTTGTTAAAAGCTCAAATGTTGACCAAAACATCACAAAAAGTCTCACAGTAATTCATGCACAAATTGTACAAATTATCCTATCACAGCTTAAAACTAACCTTTACAGAAGGCACAATCTATATCAAAACCAAAATTTCCGATCAATGCAAAAGAAATTAAAGACACACAGCAGCCGTTTTCAGAATCGATACTTATCCATTTATCCCTTTTATTTCTGGTACACTTGTCTCCTTAAATAGACATCAAAAGTTATAAATGTTCTCACTAGAGACAAATTAATAAAGACTGGGGTCTAGGGGCACCCTTAGAATACTATGACCCTTGCTTTATCTCACATCTGGATATAAATTAAATGATCGTCTAGTCTTCAAGGCTTTTAAGTCTAAATTGAACCTGGCAGTAACCATCATTTCAATAGTCTCAATAAAATTTATGAGTGCCCAAATTAGATTTTTTTTTTTTTCGGATGTTCTGTTCCATAGTTAATTATAAATGCCAATAAACCCAAATATTTTAATAGTCAATAAGTGAGTTGATACAATGCATTACCATTGTTTAGGCAACATGAGGAAATTGAGTCAGTTGTGCTACGGTTGTGTTAGGTGAGATGAAACTGGAAAAAAAATTAGCTATTGATGTAAAATTTGATAAAAAAAAGCAAATCAGTTCTTAAGAGACCAAATTTTCCTTATCTTTAAGGCATGAATCATGAGATTCATCATCATTTGCATAAATCATATGATCAGGGTCCTTTGATGAAGGGCCACGATGGCATGCCTTAGGTAAAAAAAAAGTTCAGTGTCTTTAAAAACGTTTTAACATCTTTAGAAAAGAGACAAGAAATAAACATTTTCACCAACGTAAAGTTATTAACATGACCACAGATATGAATAACCTCTCTCATCTTCTTATCTTGAACTAATCTGTAAAAAATACAGTTACATAATGGTTGCCAATCCCTCAAAAAATAAACTGAAATGCTTAAATAATGTTATGGTGCTCTCATGCATGTCAATATTTTCATCCCAACCACCTGTTTCAAGCCCAATTCTGACAAACAATGTCAGTTTCCAGTTCAACTTAAAATCTCATTATTTTCCATTAAAAATCCAACTAGCATTATACTGCCTGACAATAGAGGTTAGCGTCACGGGCGGTGAATTTTGGAGTGACACCCTAGGGGAGCAGATATATAAGGACAGGGTTCAGTAATCTAAAGAATTTAAAAAGAAATGGGCCCCCAAAAATGTGCATTTTTTATTAACCCTGATAAAAGGAAAAACTGAGCATGTACTGAGATATTTTTAGAGAATTTATATCAAGGCTGTGTACAAAACTGAGGACATTTTATCCACTCCTCATTTGCTTGAAAATCCTGAAACTCACATACCCATGCAAACCACACAAAAAAAAAAAAACCTTTCTTCCCTAAAACCAGAGGAAAAATGTCCCAACAAAAGAGATCTTCAATTTACCATAAATGGCCTGTTTTCAAACTTTTTTCAAAGGGATGGGTTCCACCAACAACGACGTCATATCTTCATTAAATTTCAATTTCCTCTCCAAAATTATTTGCGCAGCATCTATTTTTTGTTTCCCATATACTGTTATTAAAACCATTCCCTTGGAGACGGTAGGGTGTAAATCAAAAATAACCTGCCAGACAAAGTTTCTATTTGACATATCTCATGAACTGTAAAAACAGTGGACAATCCAGCCATGCAATATCGTGGACAAATTGGATTGGGACTCAAATATCATAGATTCCATCCTCAGATAACCCATTCAAAACAAATCAATTTAAAAAAAGAGAGACCTAATTATGAAACACCCCCTTTAAAATTTCTGTGATACCTCCTGTAGTTGAAAATTGTATTGTAATATCAAACCTTCCTCTTTGAAAAATAACAATATGCCAATTCGAATTGCAAAAAAAAATTTAAGAATGCCTCTGTGAGACAGAAGTCTCCTAAATGAATTTATTACTGAATATCCTGTTTGTGAAATAAAATGAAAAAAATGTAATTTCCCTCTTTTCATCTGAAGCATCAGTCATAGAACAAGATCAAATCATAATTATTAAAAGCATCCTTGATTAATGAAAAAAATGAAACATTTGTGATCTCTGAAAAATATCAAATATTGGCCAATTTATCAAATGCAGTCTGCAGAGTTTTAATTTAGTGACAAAGACAACTTTCTGGCCTTAACTTCTACAAGATCTTCCTTTCAAATTTATTTTATTGGCAAGAAAATGTGATACCTGTGACAAATAAAGGCTGTCACCTGCGGAGTGTCACACTGGGAAACCAAATGACTGAACAACAAAGTGACCAATCTTTGACCAGAGTGACCATCTCCTGACCACAGGCTGATGAGACATTTTTTGTTAAATCAATGGACAGTCTGTAAAAAAATGACAGACAATTTTCAATAACGGAGACACTATGCCTCAAGAATGGTCATCTATCGTCAGAGGATCCTTGCAGTGCAGATATCATACACAAAGAGAACTTTATTCCCTGATTAAATTTGTCAAAAATATTTGTTGAAAAGAAAACTCATTTTTGTGTACTTGTGAGTTCAAAACCAAAGGGCTACACATACCTATGTTTTTATTATTTATATTCCAAAACAAAATAACAAATATTTAGGAAGAAAAATGTTCCAAAATGACAAGGCATTTTTTTAAATATTGTGTCAAATATTTCAGAATCATCAGCTGATATTCAAACAAGAACACCATAAACTTATACAGTGAGCATACTTCGAATGAAAGGAAATAAAACATTTGTGCAGCAAATCACTGAAATATTTTTGAAAATCATTTTAGGCAGTAGGTGAAAGTCCCATTCAACCATCAGGGGCTATGGTCTTTCACAGTCTGGGTGATGAAGAAAAATAATTTACAGTGCAAGAGAGCAGAAAAAATGACAAATTCAAGAAAACCAAAAATGTATCTTTCTGAACTAAAAAAATGCTACCTATACCTACTTCTCTTTTTGTTAATTTAACTATTCAAGTCAAGAAAATAGCAACAAACATTTTACAGCCTATGTTCCTATCTAGGCTGCAGATTTGATCGAAATAACAAGATTCCTAAGCTGAAATTTTATAATGTTTACTTAACCAAATTACTTGGACTGAGTTTGAAAAAAAATTAATTAGTGAAGCCAATGAACCTTCAGTGGATAAGGTTCACTCAACAAATACTGAGTTTCTCTGATCATTTCCACGCAAGACCTGTTCCTATATTTCTAAAAACAAAAAGTCCCAAGACAAAGTAACAAACACAAAAACATCTTCTGGAAGAATCTCAGATTCCATAATTAAATTCCTCATGGAGGCGACTACTCAAAGATGTATTTCCTTCCTTCCTCCCAATGTGATTAGTCCTTGTAGTGGAAGTCCGATCAGTTTATCAGAAAACAATGCTAAGCAGGAAGCTAAACCCAACCCAGTCTCAATGGTTCAGTTAAAAGACAACACATAAATTAATTTGTTCCACTTCAGACAACAGAACATATCTGTTTCCATGTCTTATCTTGTTTTGTGAGCTTCCAAGTCTAAGTGCAAAATTTGATGTATTGAGCTATGTATTTAAATGTAAAAGTGGAAGGCGGTCTTTTATGGGAGAGGGGTTGGGGAGAAGTACAGGGGAAGGGTTTGCTTTTATTAGGATCAAATCTAAAGTAATACTACATCGAATTTATCATTCTATCCCTAGAATTTTAGAATTAACCAAAAACATTTTCATGGAATAATAAAGTTTTTTTTTTTTTTGTCACACAGCACCATTCCAACAGCAATGCAATACAGCCCAGTTCAATTGGATTTTTGGTACAAGGGTGGCAATTCCATTAGAATTTTTCTCAAATCTCATTTTTAATTAAGTAATGTGTTTAACAACTGAGTAAACTCCAACCATAATGCCTGTATTTCAACAATGTTATTCAAAAGTTTTTGTTACATCCCAGCTGCGAAATGTTGGTTATATTTGAAGTCAGAAAACTAAAAGAAATATCTCCTGCTATGGAAAATATATTTGTCAATCAACCTACAACATGGCTTGGTAAATGAACATCTCCCAGTGTCTCAGCAGCAAAAGTGAAGAGGTTTGGATCTTCATTTTAAATCATTATGTGCTCATATAAGAAGGATATTCTTTTCTTGCTTTCTTTTTTAAAAAGCCAGCATTGTTTTACCAGAAACCTTGCTTTGTTTGGGCTTGTGACACACTAGTATATGCTTGTACCTCTGACTTTCAATGTGTTCAAATACCATGCATTAAAAATATCTAAAATAGAAACTATAAACTTACCAGTTCTGCTTCTGATTCTTTGGCAAATGCTTGTAATTTTTCTATATCTTTATTGGATAAGTGTTTCTGAAATTAAATGTATCGTAATTTAAATATATTCACACATGCTATCAGTCCTGTTAAAAAGAAAATTATTCATAAATATCTAAAAATAATATAAAGCTTGGCACTAATAGCTAGGCAATACGTTTTGCACACTCTCTCTCTTAAATTTTATTAGAATATATTTTTTTCAAAGTACATTACACACTAAAAAATTTGCAGCATACAAATCACAATTCAACTCAAAAGTATGGAACAATAAAACAAATTATAAGCTAAAATTTAATCTTATTTTGAGAAAAAAAACACCCTTAGGCAATCAATCAAAAACAACACACAACAACTGAACACCATTCTGGATGAAAACATAGGGAAATCCTCAATCAGCGAGCATCTAGCTTTTCTGATTTCACACTTGGCTGACTGGAAAACGTGCTACAACCAAAAGAATGTTGTGAAGTTAAAACAGACATCTGTGCCTTTCAACGCTGGGTCCACAACACCATTCCGCCAACACATTGTTCTAAGGTGCGAACAAAAGGTTTGAGAATTGACATCACGATAAACAAGTAGGCTGTTACGAGTTGCTGCTTGTTTTTTCTTATTTTTTCAGAATGGTTGTATAAAATGAGTTTCATGGAAAATAACCAGATACATCAAGCTCTTGTCACAGAGATGTGAATATCAGTTCAGAAAAAGCAGAATTTTAGACAGGCATCACCCCTCCCCCTTTTTTATAATTAATTTTTTACAACACATCTCTGAGTCTTAAAACTGACCATTTCGACCCTTCAAAAGACCTGGTTTCTATTTTGTATTGCAATGAATACTAAGTTAACAGTTACAAAAATGATAAAATGGTGTAATTTCATTATATATTTGGATTCTATTTTACCAAAGACTAAATAAATGTAAATGTGAAAAATGTTTAACTGAAGCTCAAAAGGAAACTCAGAGGTCCCAGTGTTGCTATCTGGAGTCAGAAACATCCATCTTGTTTTTTCATCAGTCAACTTTCACCATTCAATTATGTGCCACATTACACTGCCCTAATTATGAAGTGAAAAAATCGACCTTTTAACTTTTTCCCTACTTACAATAAAAGGCAAATTCATCATTTGAAAAACTTTTCCCAAAGATTCGTTTTTATTCTACCCATTACGGTTTAAAGAATTGAAACCAATGCCTGACTCCACTCCATCCATAGCAAAAATTAAGTATATCAATTAAAGTTTAAAAAGAAACAAACTATTCCGATACAGTTCTGATATAAATAACAGGAATCTTAACACAATTTCAACATTTTGCTTATTGACAACATAAGAGTGTAATCTCTCATTCTGTTTTATTTCTCAAAGTTTAAAACAATTTAACCTTTTCCACTTTCAAAGTCCAAAACATTTCAAATATTTTAAAATGAACCCATTATCCATGACCTTTGGAAAATAAACAATTTCTTATAACAGGTGTGGAAGTATGGGATGTTCAAGACCAATGTGCCATGTCAAGCTTTGTTAAAAGAAATATTTTTTCTGGATTAAACAAATACTTTGTTTGACAGATATCAGAGAGCAGTCTAGTGATTGTCCTTATTATGTTAGATTAAAGAATTGACCGGAACACAAGATAAGGTTAAGAGAGCAACTGCATTGTCCTGTTTGCCACCCCCCCTCTCTTTCTCTCTCTCTCTCTCTCTCTCCCCTCCTGTCCTACACTGCACTCTTTTGTCCATTGTGTTTTACAAGAAGAATATATATGTATATACACTACACAACAAACATCTAATACTGTCAGAACTAAATTCAAATCACTCAATTTCAATTCCATTAACGTCAGACTTCCGACTCAACAGATGCACGAAAACATTTCTATCAACCACCGACTTCTGTAATGCACCATAAATGAAGAATGTGCCAGAGAACTTGTCAAGTCACCCATGTTAGGACAAAGTCACAACTGATTCCATTACGAATCATAAAAGGAGACAAAACCACATGACCTTGAAATTTCAGCAATGACCCATCTAAATTTTAGCTTTCTTTGCATCAATTAGTTGAAAACCTCTCACATTTTTATATCACACTTGAAGTTATCCATGGTTTCTTTTCTTTCATCACAGAAGACTGAACTAGGGCAAGTAAGGATAAGGTTTACATTTACAACACAGTGTGCAACAATTCACATAAATATATGTCAGCCTCTCTCTCTCTCTCTCTCTCTCTCTCTCTCTCTCTCTCTCTCTCTCTGCAGTTTTTAATAGTATTTCATGGATTTTTCTATGACACAAAAACATAAGCATGACAACTCTTCTTTGGGACAAGCACGCCTCCTTCTACCTTATGCCTAGCATCCAAAAACATTTATTTTATCTTTCAATACCAATCCAAGCAATTCTTTTATCTATTATGCAGTTCTGCATAATATTCACTTGATGAAAATGTCCATGCTGAAGACTCATCTAAATACAAAAAGATCCTGTTTCAAACATTTTTTCAAAGGAATGGGTTCCAATAATGCCACTTATACATTTAACAAGGTATGAAGGAAAACTGCAAGTCTTTATTTATTTATTTATTTATTTATTTTTATTTTTTATTATTATTATATTTTTTTACCTGGCCCGTTTTGATGTTGAGCGCATGTATGCTGCATCCTGGAGTGGCTAGAGCTTTGGCAAATACAGGCACAGATTGACCCTGGAATATGTCTGTAACTTCTTGGATCTGAGAAATAAAAACATGCACCATTAGACACAAACAATTTTCAAAAGGCACAATGAGTTATTGATTCAATTCTTTGAGAAGATTCCTGATGTTAACTTTAACATTTTCATAGTTTTCTTGAAACTACCTAATAAGACATTAAATCCCTCAAAACTGACCAGAATAAAACATTTTCTGGAAGTTTATTACACAAGAAAGGTTTGATCCCTAGCTACATTACACAATACTTAAATTTTTTGGTCCTAGTAAAAATAGAAACCAAAGAACACAGAAAATTTCATGTTACTCCCCTCTGCATCCAACCCTAATACTAGCAGCCACATTTTAAATGTTAATAATGAGAAGTAAATGACAAAATTATAATTCATAAAATGTTCTCTTTTTTTTTCATTTATGTTGATTGGCACACATATCTATTTATTAATATATATCCCTTAATGGACTAAAAAATTACCTTCATTTCAAACCTTGTATCAGGTTTGTCAATACCGTACTGTCGCATGGCATCTTCATATGTCATACGGGGGAAAGGAGTTTTTAGGACTCCACTCTCTTTTGGCCATGAATTTACCAGAAGGCCTTCTATGACATCCATAATGTCCTCTTGGGTGACAAAGGACATCTCTATATCAACCTAAAACATCATAAAGTCATGATAAATATAATTTCTATGTAATATGAGTATGGTTTGTTCTATTTTAAGTTAGTGTTTTTATTCTATTTCTAATTAAAATCAGAATTAAAATAAACTCCAGAATGGGAGCATTAAGGTTTCTTTGTACATAATTTTATCTTCACTTCCATTTTGTTAAATTATGTTTCATTGCATTATCTGTACTAGTTGCTATTGTGTATGCATTACTTCTCGTTTTGTTTGTTTGTCTGTTTTGTTTTTTTTTCTATCTAAGGGTGGAAAGATGGGTACTGGAACAACATAAATACTACTACTACTACTAATAATAATAATAAAATAATTATTATAATTATTATCTTTTTCAAAGTACAATTCAGCTTATGCAATTAGCTAAGCTTGTTGGTTACCCTATCCCTCGAGCTCCCACAATCAACATGTTTATAAATTGTTCAATATAAGCTTTAATCAAGGTTTATACCATAAGATCTCTCCCAGACATAAATCTAGTTCAGAAAATTAATCTGTCAAAAACACTGCAATTTCCTGTAAAGTGTCAGCAGTTTTCTTAGCATCAGGATTTCATGAGATGCTTTTAATCATGATCTGATCTCTTCTGGTTGTAAACAGGATACTTCAAAATATTCTGCATCCACCACACTGCTTTGCCATGTGTTGACAAAATGTTCAAATGACATTCACAAATTGATAAATTGCTTTCTTTGAAACTATGTGACTTATTTTTAATGCACAAGTTTTCAGGATTTTTTTGTTCAAGTTAACAATTATAAAATAGCAAGTGTTTTTGGCAGTCTCATTCTAACCTCTGTGCTATTGTGACACCAAAAACATATGTCAAACTTTAAGTTAGCTATGTTCTTCTACTAGGGCACATTTTTAGTAGTTAACTCATGAAAAATGCTACTAAATATGAAAACAAAGTAACATTCCATTTCTAATACAGCGTCTTCAATAGTAGTGCAGGTAAAATTAATAATTAATTGGAAGATAAATTAGTGTTTAAGTACTGAAAGAAAATTGAAAATAACAAAAAATGCACAAAAAAATTGTATACGCTTAAAAAGAATTTTTATAAAGCTCACTCTCATAACAATGACAACCAACAAAGTGTGTCCAAAATTTCATAACAGATCATGTGGTGGTTTACTAGAGATACTAGCTTTTCAAGGTCAATAACCCAAGGCAAATCTCTTTAGAAGTATGACAAATTGTGCCATTTATTGTCAATTTAAATCCACCCTGAACAGCTTTCACCTTGAGCGATTTAATAAACCAGAGAGAATGAGGTTTGTAACCTAAACCCATTACTGAAGTCTTTGATCATTTCTTATGTATGATTAGACCACACACAACCTGATAGATGGGCTTGAAAAAAAAAGACCATGTTTCCCTTTCCCCTCATCCATTCATAAGATGCTAGCCTGGGTCAAATAGTTTGCCTTCTAGCACCAGTTGTATCCTCTTAACTGTTCGCATTCTGAACTGTAAGGTCATTTCTTTCATAAAGTTGTTCATCTGGAGGTTTCAGACTAACATGTCTGGTCTATTTCACACCATAAAATTATGCCTGGAGACTGAACTTCAAAACCACAAATTTATTAGTTAACTTCAACCCCAAATCAATCATATTATGATCTGTAATATTGAGCCCATTTTGTAACAAGAAAGACCAAATCAATGTTTATGCCTAATACTATCGTCACTTAACTGGAACAAATAATTTCGAAGTTCTGTCGGTGAATAGCTACTCAGCTAATGATTGTACTTTCATTCTTTCCGACATGAATTAAACTTTATTGCACTGTATTGTATTATATTGTTGTAACGTGTATCAGGTTTTTGATCTAAAATTTTGACCCAATTTTCAGGATAAGGCTCTATGTGAAACCAGCTCCTGACTTGGTCCCTTGTTATTTGTCAATCTGTCATTGAATTGTCAGTGGATAATGATTCCGCAGGGTACAGCTTTTGTGATTTCCTCCCCTCATTTCTTTCATCAAAATCAACCAAAATAAAAAGAAATGCTTTACCACAGGAAAAAGTTACCATGATTGTCACTCACCATCACATCATTCAAATGTCAGAAACATTTGTGAAATCACAAATAATTTTTTCTGTATTAGAAATTCTCACTGACGGAACTGAGACAGGCTGTTTCTGTTATAACCACAGAAATATTTTGAAAGAATAACTCTGTGAAAACCATAGTATTAGGAAAACACTCGAATGGTATGTATGAATTTGAACTGACAACATTGCATTTAGCTAATAGAATTAGAAATAGATCAAGAAAAAGAATTTGTTTAATGGCACAGAAAATACCTAAGCCCAGACTGATTACTCCGAGTTATCTCAGCAGACACTCTGTTCTTATTTAATGGACCCAAAGAAAAATTACTTAAGTTCTCAAGATTCTCAATTTACAACAGACAAGGTTTTAATCTGTTGTGGATTTTTTTTCTTTTTTTTTTTTTTTTGCATATTCTTCTACTGACACTGGTAGAAAGACTATTAAACTGGGAGCAGCCAGTCCGTAAGTAATGTCTGAAGATGTAATAGGTTTGTTCAATTTAAATGTTTGTGGTAAACCAGTTGAGTTACATAGACTTTATATTTTGATTGATTCAATGTGACTAAGCATATGCTGCCATCTTTTGAGAAGGATTGCAAACAAACTCTTTCTTTCTTTATCTGCCTCTCTCTTTTCAGTTTATTTACGGACCTTTGCCACAGCTTAACATAAAAAATAAACACATAAAACAAACTTAATAATAGATGAGATTTTATCATCAAATATCATAGCATACCTAATTTCCCACTACAGCCAACTGAAAATTATTACTCCATATTGTAACTTAATCTATGTAATTCATCATACCATATGTTCCCTAATACAAATATAATTAAGGAAGTTTTATTACATTACATAAACATGTATTATTTAAAACAGACATGAACCTGGGTTTTAAAAAATCTCAGGGCATTTATCACAAAAACACTTAATTGACTGAGGAGGAGGAGGAAGGGGCACACTTAGGTCCCACTAGAAATGAATTTAAAATCTTAAAATTATGTGATTCCATGGAAAAAGTTTGTATCAAAAACCAATAACAGAATGTCTCATGTCTAGCACTATCCCATTTTGTATTGTAGGGCACAACACAATCAGAAGCACAACCAACTTGTTACAACTAACACAATCCAAAAAGTAATGCTCCGCCACCAAATGCAGCAATGACACCAAACACAATATAATCCAAGGCAATTTAATCCCATGTAAAATAATCACATTTTCCTGGCCTCTGCTTACAAATAAATTATCTGAATATATTCAACTTGAACATGTTTTGTTTACCAGCAGATTTGTCAAACAAGCACACAACCACAGGAAACATAATAAACTTGTAAATAAGGGTCATACAGAATGAGATAGGTTCCTCTATCTAGTGTGCACTAACTAAACAGGGACAATCACTAAATGCAGTCCCATTAACAGACTAATGTGCCTCTTCCTGGTGTTAAGCAGAATCTTGAAAAGCTAGTTATAATATGAGTGTGTTAGAAACAAGACAAGGCTTGATAGTCTGTCAATCAGGTTGCATACAGTCCCTGTGGAATTAGTGCCCACTATCTTGTGTGACCTAACTCATTCAGAAGATATCTCCAAAATAATAAAAAAAAAACTAAACACAGGTCATCCATAAGCTGAAGTGAAAAAATCTTGAAGCATCATTCTAAGTAGCAGTCATTTAATTTGATGATATTTTTAATCTCACCTGGGTGAATTCTGGTTGCCTGTCTGTCTTTGCTCCTTCATCACGATAACACTTTGCTATCTGCATGTAACGATCTATACCCCCTACCATAAGGAGTTGCTTAAACTGAAATATACATATATACATTTGTTATGCATTCCAAATACCAACAATTAAAAACCTCAGTTGTCCGTAATGATTGAAATAGCAAGTAAATTCAGTTGTAATTTTTTTTACACCAAAAGGCACTGGATCATCTTTTGGTAGTGTTTTCCAATGGTGCACAATAACATCACCTTAAAGGTACGTTATAAATGATATTTTTGTAAGACATAAAACCATTGGCATTGCAATAGTATTTAACAACACAGAGAGAAAGATTCTTTATGTGTACTCTAGGATTTTCCTTTCTAATACATTTTTGTGACTTCCAACCAAAATCTTGTCTTCTAAAACTGAATATCTTTGTTGTAAATTGCAAAGATATTTCCGGTCTTATCTCTTTCTTTCTCTTTCTCTCTCAAACACAAACACATGTACATACACTGTAGTGGCTAGAATTCTATATCCCGTGTTTAAGGGAAATTAATTACCATGTAGTCTCACATACTGCATTCGGTGCAATTGCTATGTATTTGGTTGAGAAAATGATATTTAGAAGAAAGAGATTCTTAAGTTGGGAGAGGTGCACACGTTCAGATTCACGGAGGACGTACAGTATGTATTTGCCCGGTCCTTTCTTAAAACTCATTTTATATATGTTGCTTGGTTACTAGACCTATTTTATAGCTCATTACGTAATTAGCATATAAATTTGCAAGTAATGTAAAGGCATTTTAAGAACACGTGTTATAATGCATGAATGTATTAGGTGTGGTTAACAAACAAACTTTGTCAGGCCTGTTAGTTTACGTTTATTTTCTTTCCTTAGATATTGAGTATGTTTATCTCAGCTAGCTACATAATTTCATGAAGTTGTTTTATATTTATTACAGTGTCAGCAGACAAAGGTTATACGGTATTTTGTCATGTTTCACAAGTCGAGGCTAGACAAGTCTAGTGAGTAGCTAGTTTATGTATGTTACCATTTAATTTTGGAATTAATTTGTTTCTTCTTAACTTTGTCAGGGGCGGATTTAGGCCGTCTTCTGGGTCTTCCGGAAGACGGTCAGATTTTCAAGTTTACATTGTCGGGCATCTAATGTTTTCTGTCGGAAGACAGTCAAAAATGGAGGATAGATCAACAAAGATAATTTGGAAGACTGTCAAAAAATATCTCTGGATCCGTCCCTGTTTGTAATGCACTTATAAAAGAAATTGATTTAATAACAGTGACATTCAGTCATTATATAAGTAAGTCATATTGAAAAGGATCATGAAGTATAGATGTTAAGTATCTTTATTTATTATTATTTCAGAACGTATCTTATTGTAGTGGATCAATAAAGGCTCAAACAGACAACCTGCGTTTGTTAAGATATTGGACGCTATATACACACACACAGGAACAGCCATACATATATGCACACATAAAAGATACATGTACACACAAACACATACACAAATTCACACATGCACGTACACTCATACATGCGTTTACATGCACACATATCTCACCTGTTGTGGACTTTGTGGAAGACAGTAAAATTTCCCAGGTATTTTTGTAGGTACAACAAATTCTCTTGCTCCCTGAATTATTTCAAAATATCAAAATAATTAAAAATAATGGAAGAATAACATTTAAATATGTCTTTAGACCAGATATAAAAAATTTAATGTAATAGCACACGCAGAAAAAAGTTACTGCTATAGATATTATCCTCCCCACCCCCCCACCCCCCCAAAAAAAGATGTTAATACGTACCCCTGGTGTTCTTCTGAACAATGTGGGAGTTTCTACATCTACAAAACCTGAAAACACACAAATCTTTTTGGTCATTACAAGTTTTACAATGTCAAGTTTGATTTACTAAATTGAAAGTTAAATTACATTTGATGAGACTGAACACACAAAATATTGACACAAATTTTTAATATTCTTCCAATGTTACCTATTATATACCAATCTGCATCAATACAACAATCTGTGTTTAAAAAGTATAAGCATACCATATCTGATTGGAAAAAATTATTTGAAACGTTATTTTTTCGTATCTACTCCTCCTTACAGTTTCAATAAGTCGCAAAACAATGACCAATTTTGTAATTTGCATGCAGTATGAACAAATGTCTATACTAATCCACTTTCTTTTCATTTCTGTGGTACATTTACTTTATTACCTAGTTTATTGCACAGGAATTCTCTCATTTTCATGACCATGTTGGATCGAATCCGAAGATTCTTTTGCATTTTGTAATGTCTTATATCTAAATATCGGTACTGCAAACGAACATTCTCTGTGATCTAGAAAAAACATATAATATTTCTCTGACTTAATTATAAAGAGAGAAAAGTGAGATGACTCAAATGCAAAATTTAGTGTACTATGGTACTATGCTTCATATGGTAAAGTCTTATAAACACTTGTCATTGACAACAACATGCTATTTGACATGTATCAAACTTAATTTCTACAACCTCCACAAAATTTTAACTATTTCCATTTGTATGTGCCTGTGGGAAAAATGAATCCTGTTTAAATCTAGTAAGGAATTACCATACTTACTTCTTCATAATCTCTTGTTTTGAATGGCAATTCAGCAAGACTTGGATTTAACACCTTCAGGTCTTCTATTTCAACTTCAATGTCTCCAGTGGGCATTTTCTGAGTGTAATAATAATAATAATAATAATAATAATAATAATAATAATAATAATAATAATAAAGATGAGCTATTTTAAATAATAAACTTTGATGCACATGACACACAATAACATTATTACCTCATGAAAAGAAAAAACTACCTCATGAAAAGTTTCTACAATCTTCAGTGCATTAGTGTCTAAATTTTAAAGGGGCAGACCCAGAGATATTTTCTAACAGTCTTACAAATCATCTTTGTTGATCCATTCTCCATTTTCGATCGTCTTCAACCAGAAAATTTTAGATGCTCATCAATGTAAACTTGAAAAATTCTGAACATCTTCCAGAAGACAGCTTCCATCCGTTCCTGTTTTATATCCATTTCCTACTGATTGAAGCAATATTAGAGAGTTTCCGGTGCAGTTGGGATACGACGGCTAGATTGTTACGTATGTGCTAATGTATCCAGTAACGCGCTTCTCTCTTCGCGTTCCGGTAATGTCCCGGAATGCTGGCGCTCATTCCAATATAATAATAACAATATACGGCCCCGTAGCCATCTATTTCCAGGGGGGGATTCTTTTTTATGAAAAAGGAGACAAATATTACCCAAAAGTGCAATTTTTCCCGACAAAAATGGCGGTTCGTAAGAACCCCACGATCAACCCCTGACTACGTGCCTGATAAACCAAAACTAGCGGCTCCTCTCTGTTAAAAAGTCGAAATTTGCATGAACGTACACTTGAACTATTGTAAAAAAGTATATAAGTCATATAAATTAGCAAACATAACCTTTAATAACTATTTTCAATAATCTTCCGCACTGGCTAGATAGGAGCGCTTGTATTCCGCAGACTAGATAGGATGACGGTATATGAATGTGGTGAACGTCACAAGTGCGCACAAACCGATGACGTATTAATCTAGCCGGCGTATCTCACCGGCAACGGAAACTCTCTAATACTGACTGTGTACCATACACTTATGACTCATTATAATTAAATCTTACTGGGTTTTCTTGTCCTTCTGGGCGTCTTATTACTTTTCCTTTCACTTGCAAAACTGACTCAAACTTCAAACCCTTCACAACCTCACAGAGTGTATCTCGCTGAAACAAAGGAAAAAAAAGATGAGTGATATAATATACCAATATGTGTGGACTTCATTCTTACAGTTACTGCAATATTCATTTTATCCATTTATGCAGTATGTCATCAAAATGGGTTTTTTTTTCAATATTAATTAATGTATGTTAATGTATATAGTAACATTATGGCCTGATAGATTACTTTCGATCACTTAATCTATCAGTAAATAAATTTTTATATATATAAATCTTGATTTTTTTTTAAATCAAAGCAAGCCAGCACTTGACAAACACCACCTACCTTATTATCTGGAACTATGAACTGTGTCACTCCATGAGCATCTTTAAGAGTTATAAACTGCAGCGCACGCTCATGCATGAGCCATCCACACAGCACCACGTCTTGCCCCACATGACTGGCGCGCAACTCCCCACATGAATGAGTACGCTGACTGTGACTTACAAACACTGTTATGAAAAAAGAAAAGAAAAAAATATAGCACACTTGTTATTGCAAATCATATTCTTACTCTGTTTTAGCACCATTTTAAAACAATCATTTATTAAATGTTAAATAAAAGCCTCTAGTTAAATCAAATTAATTTAATTCATAATCAAATACTTGGTGAGATGGTAACTGCATGGCTCTGAATTCATTTCAGTGACATAAATATAAAAACCCGAGGGTTCCAGATGCTAAATTTAAAAAAATTAAAAAGGAATAAATTTACCAACATTCTTAAAAAGTTCAAGTGAATGAAACTTTTACAAAAGCTAGGTGTAGGCGGTCTACCCGGATACCCCCCCCCCCCCATT